TGCCTCACGACTTAAATTCATCAGGAAGTGGTTGGAGGTCTGAACCAGTCTGGTGCCAAGTATAGCCTTTCCAAAAATGATAAACATTAATGTCCAGATGCGGCCCAAACAAAATCACGTTGCTTGTGGGCGCTCCCAAACATGATCAGCGTACTATGTGCGTGCCGGCGGTGCGAACCAACAGATATATGATGGCGGGGCGCCTCGCAGCCGGAGCTGCTGCTGCTGTTGCTTCTTCATCAGCGGCTGCGTCAGACATGGCAGTCGGGAGTGTCTATATAATATATAAATATTGGGGACGAGTGCTTGAGCAACATGTACTGCCCCACGGACGGGCACCGACGGCGCCCGACGGCGCGAATTTCCAAACCGAAAAATGGACCGTCTTCCAAGTTCAGCAGTTGCACCCCTCGAAGTATATAGAGTACCCGCCCTAGGATTTAGGGAACGAAGTACTTTGCACAACTACCAGGGGTGAAGGTACCAAACATGTATGCACATCAAGGATCCACCAAAAGAACAAACAGTTATATACCTCAGCATAGACCCCAGATAGTGCAAGACACTTGTGGGCACCCAAGCGCTTTCTTTTCATTCAACGTAGATGGGATCTGGCAGCGTCACCCTGCAGCGGCACCGGCATCCAAGCTCCAAAGGAAACATGGCCGTATATATTTGGCACTGGCATCTGCAGCCACACCCTGCAGCAGCACCAGCACCCAAGCCCTTAAGCACCACACTGCCACAAACATTTGGAAGAGGCACCCTGCAGCGACACCAGCGCCCAGGCTCCAATGCGCTCACCGCCACAAATCTGGCAGGAGCATAATGGCAGAATGCAGCGGCACTCTGCAGCAGCGGCAGCACCAGCCCCCAGCCTCCAAAGCGCACGCAGGCACATCTTCCTACACTTGAAATAAGAGCCCCGAGGCACATCTTCCTACACTTGAAATAAGAGCCCCGATAGCTCGTTTTCGGCTGCTCTTGAGTTTCTTCATGCCCTTTGCAAAAATGTGCGCTGTATGCACATCACTGATCCACCAAAGCAAACACCAAAATAACGAACCTACGATCCAGTCTGGCTCAAACCAAGGCTTGGTTGTTTTTTTGGTTTGTTTTTGTTGTGTTTGGTTGTTTGGTGGATCAGATTTGGAAAAGAAGAACAAACAAACAAATCAACCCTGTGTCTTAAGTTCGGTGCTTCAGGCATAGGTCTGATCTGCTTTTGTAGATCAGACCTCCTGGCCCGCCCTTTGCTCTCACCACGCTTTGTGTGATACCCTGACAATCCTTTGATCAAATATAGACTTGAATAACCAAATGCAGAGATACTGTTATTTTCACAAATTCGGCTTTTCCCAGATCTGGTCCTGTATGAAGTTTCCTTTTTTAAGAACAACAACTTTTCTACTGACAAATAGACTTTGGCATAGTTGAAGGCTTTGCCAAAAGATTGTGTACAGGAGTAAACCTGAAACAAATACAGTAAGATGCCTTTTGTATAGAGGAGTGGACTCTTCAAGTTAGACAACCTCCCAAGGATTGCTTTGAAAGTATCGGGAAAATGTTTGGAGCTGAGGGAAGCAGGTGTTTTTCTTGGAAACAGATGGGCTTCAACCTTGACCTTACAGCATGAAACAAATGGGTTTGAAGCATGTGTGCACTTGCTTTTGCTTGTAAATCGGTCTCCGCACCAAAATTGTAACGGTGCATTAAAGAATGTAGCCCCGCCAAAATGCCTCGCCGTATAAAGTACTGTACAAATGAGACACCTGTGCGAAAAGAATACTTGTGCAAAGATGAAGGCTTTACTGGAAGAAAATAGTCACATAAAGGAGTAAACCTGTAACAAAGGATGTTATTTATAGAGTTGACTCTGAAAGACGTGTGCCAAACAGGCTCGTGTTGGGACTAGTGGCCAAAAAAATGATGTGTTTCATTTGATGCAATAATTACCACGATTTTCTGCTGGGGCTCATGTGAAGGACAGTGCATTTACAAGGATCCTATTATTCTAATTTAAGTGCGGTATGAAGTGCTGGGACATGATATGCATTTTCGTTCCCAAACGAAAATGCACCCCTAGTCAAAGTTATTGGTGACTGGTGAACGGATCAAGTCTGGATAAAGGATGGGGCCCATGTACTGGAGGACTTATTCATGGACGCTTGTACCAACTAGGAGACTTTCTGGGTAGTGCTTGTCAAGACAAACATCCCGCTCAATAAACTGCTAGCAAAACCAGCAGAAGCTCTTGTGAAGGGACGAGTGGGGGTGGGAGAAGACATGTAAAACACATGACCTCACATACAACAGTCTATGTCTTCATAATTCTTCATATATCTTTCATGAGTGCATCATTTGTGTCAGCTGGCTGCAATTGTATAAGTTATTGTACAAATTACTACAATTTGGTCCCCTGAAGTATGTACAATGTCAAGGGGAGTCAAAATAAATATATCCGCACCCAAAAAAGAGTGGTTACAGAGAAACATAGAAGTTGTAAGAGGGTCCAAAAATAGAGTGATTACTGTACTATATTATATACGATTGATCCACTTCATGCTGCGTTCATCTCCAAGTGTTGTGTCGATCATACTTGTTGGACAATGTTTGGGCCCACTGGATAATGTACAATTTCAAGTGGGTCGAACAAGTATATCCAACGATGCTTGCAAGCTAAGACAATAAGACACAACTAAACAGTGTTTATGGGTGTCCAAATATATATATATATAGTGGTTATAGATACGTGCTAAATTCTATTCATACACTTCATGCTGCATTCATCTCCAATTCTTGCCTCGGTCATACACATTGTATAGTTATAGTTTATTGTACATCTCTATGTGTCGACCCCTTGAACATGTACAATTTCTAGGGGTCAAAAAATCAATTATAAGAATGTTTGCAACATGCAAATAAGACACAACTTAACAATGTATCACAGGCGTCCGATAATAGAGTGATTACAGATACTTCTTGTGCCCTCTCTCTGAGAGCCGGTCCGGGCGGTTGTCGTCGCAAAGCGACCTGAATATGTCATCCACCTTGTTTGTTGCCCTTGTTTTGTGAGGGCCTCACCTTGTATGAGTTACAGTTAGAGTTGGGCATACCAAGGTTTTGCTGTATTCTTGGTTTCCTCGATGTTCCTTGTGCAGTTCTTTTGCAAGTCGCTTCCTTCTTGCCTCCTTCTGCTTCTTTGGGTATGTCCTCGTATTTTGCAATAATGTGTGATTGCAAATTGCAATGATTGTCCCCACGATCCCACGATCAAGTTTCACGTTGAAAGAGACGTACATTTATTTTGGTATTCTTGCTGTTGGTTTGCTTGCCACATGTATCACAACATGTTGACACAGGAGAGACACATTCCAAGGGTGTCTTTTTGTCGAGTTGAACATTGAATCTTATGTTAATCATATGCGTCTCACTAACAGTAACTAGTATGTAAGACTATACCACGATATTTGTTAATTTGAAACCTATGTGTTTTTGATTTTCACAAATACATGCCTCACAATTTGTTTCTACATATAACGTGTCATAACGCGTCCATTCCCCCCCACAATGACATCAGGTGCATCTTGACTTGTAATTGGCACAAACACTGCACATGTGTTCTATACATCAATCATTACCAAACCTGCTCCAAACGTTTGTGTCGGTTCAACGGTTTTTCTTGCAATAAAAAGAATAGTGTCTCAGTCTATACCAGAATGATAAGTATTATATATTTTGTTTGGTGCTACCAAAATTGAAAACATATTGAACCCACTTGTCAGACAGTGCTACTTCACGTCTACATTCTTAAGAAAATACTGTTCCACTGTGTTCTTTGGCTTTGAGAGTGGTAGTCTTACTTCCAAAGTCACTCCTCAGTAACATAAGTATCAAATATGTATGTGGCTGTGATATAGACACAATATTATACACATGTTGCATGTTCCCATAGTGTCATAGTAAGAGTTCCCAAAGATAGTCTCAAAATGTTCAGCCAATGCACATTGTGGAACGGGTTCTTTGATTTTGTTTTAGATACTGTATATAACAATATATATATATGTAACATCTCCAAACTAGGGAATGGCGCAAAAAGGCCCAGAGCGATTTGCAAGTCTAATTTGAATACACAACTTGCAAGGGTGTTGCAAATCATTGCAAACCGTTGGTTTTGGATGTACCGGCCCAGAAAGGAAAATAAGACAGGTCTGTTGGCAGGGTGACTTGAGAAAAGAGTTCAGTTTCAGGAGGGGCCGCAGTATATTATGTTATATATCCTTTCAGGCGATTCAGCGGAGCAAAGGTCCAACCTCCTCCTGCAGACTGGCTTGCCTGTTCCATCGAAACTGGAAGCAGTAGGCAAGCTTTGCAGCCTCGACACCAATCGTGCATCTGTCAGCTGCAGTCTCGCGTGCACGAAAAATTTGGGTCCAGGATTGTTGAAGTTTCCCAAAGTTGTTTAAAGTCTGCGTGCCCGCCACTTTGGCCTGGTTAACCTGGAAGACAGCGTGACAGGATGTCGGCACAACGCAACACTCGATTGAGGTCGGACGAACGCGCTTGAAGCCTGTTTTGACATATTGAGGAAAAATGCGAACAGCAGATTGTCCAAAAGAACCGCTGCTCAGCAACGACAACGATGTTGGATACGAAGTTGGATAGAGGGTCAGACCGCTGAGTAAAGAGATCCAAAGCAGAGTCCACCCCAGATCTATTGCAAAAACATCTTCGACGCAGAATGATTCTCGAATGAGGAAAATATGGACAAAATATGTAACAAGACCACAAGACGGAAGGAAAGATGAAGTTCGGTGGTGTGCTGCCTGGGAAATACCACTGCGGTAAGTGTGCAAAATACATCTCCAACCCCAGAAACACGGCCCGTTCCAAAGAAGGGTGCGTGTTAGCGTGCTGCTGCCAATCACACTAACAGGTAGGCTTTGCAAAAATCTTCCCGGCGCGGCCCCGCTTAGCACTGTTGGTTTAATCTTATACATATCAAATCATATCGAACTAAAATTTACGTGTCAAGCTGTTTCGGGTTCATGTCGGCCAACTCCAAAAGCGTTGCAATAATTGACAAGCTGCCACAACAGTACCGCCGCTTGCTCAGGCCATGTCCCGGCTGAATCAAAAGACCACAGGTTTCCACTGCACCTGGACCCCACAAATACCCGGAAGGATGAACGATGATGAATGCACTTATGACAAATGAATGAAGACTGGACGAAATAATTCGTAAATCGGCTTTGCACAAAATATGGCTTGGGTCGGTGCAAGTCAAGTGCAAGGTGTGCAGATGTGGTGAGAGGGGTTGGCAGAATTGGCTCGGGTAGGGGCGTTTGTACACAAGGCTATTGCCCTCCCTTACTCGTACCAATCAGTCAGTGCGTGTTATTCCGGTGCTATATTATCCGTATTTATCCGGGTGACATGTGCGCAGATGGGTGATCAGATTCGGTTGGTCGGAGTTTTAAGCCTGCGTCAGTATTGGCATGTGCTTCTTCGGGAAGACCAAGTACGTTGCTGCAATAGCTTGCGCCTGACTTAGGCTCTCAAACTTTTTGATGGCTTGTGTTCTGCAAACTTCTGAATTGGTTCCTCCACCACAGTGAGTGAAATCGAAGCGATGCTCAACAGGCCTGGTGTCCCGGTGTCAGCCAAGGTCTCAAGCGTGCGCTCTATTTGGATCCATTCGAATGGATTATTTCGTACAACTTAGGTCGGGTTGTTTTTTGGTTATGTTCCTTTTTGATTGTTTGACACCTCAACGATTAGCTTCTTGAATGGCACATTATGTTCGCTTGAAGCACCCTGCTTTGTAAAATCCGAACTTGCTTTGGCTGCTTCGGTGCTGTGGGAAAGCTTTTGCCTCGCTTCTTTTTTGATCACAGTAGATATTCGGAGCAGTCTCATCCAGGTTTGGTGCATCTCAACACTGGGCAGTTCGCTTCCGTCATTCTGGCAAGCTTACCACACACAGAGCGAAGCAAAAAAGAAGAAGGTAAGGGACTCTTGCCCTTACCTCTGTTTTTGCTCTATTTGTTTTCCAGTACTCCTCAAGTGCGCTGCAATAGCTGGCACGGCTCGACTGCCCGAAGGCATTTCACTTCTTTTCCGCGAGTATCAACCTGAAGCCGGACTTCCCCTCTTCATACATGTAGCGCTCTGAGTGATTTTGGTCTGTGTGATACCCCTGCACGAGTCTTATTCGGCCATTGAGAATTCAGGTATTTGGCGATAACGCTTTCCCGTTTGGACGACTTCTCCAATGCGTGTAGTGCCTATGAGAAGGCCATCATATGACAGACATTATACAGCCATCGTGTGAAGTATGCTGCATCAGTTGAAGCTTGTGAAGAGGCGATAGAGATGGATTCCGACCACATGTTTCATTTGAACTTTGCCATAACATTGTTCAACCACGGAGAGCTTGCAGAGGCCCAGAAAGCGAATTATGCGAATTGAGTGCGCATGACATAAGTTGCTTTTTGCATAATTTTTGCTTGAGAGGAAGCAAAGGCTGAAGCTAATTGAAGCACTTACTTGTATGTTTTCTTCCCCAGCTTCATGAGCATAAAGCCACTTTGGGGGAGTCCCAAACATGAGTTGGGAAATTGAGCCAACTCTGAAGCAGGGCCATCTGGCAAAATGGCAGCGAAGAGCCACGACAAAAGTTGTAGTGGCACTCAGGCAGCGTAAAATGAACTACACCCGACCAGTGTACATGTCAAGAATGATGAAGAAGTAGAGGTACATGGCCAGCGAAAGGTCACCACAGAAGAATGGCGGACGAAAGGGAAATCCAAACACAAAGCCAAACAAAAGAAGCATGCACATTGACGTATCTGAAGTTGAAAGCCAGGGAGGAGAAAGCCAATACGGATACCTCAATCATATAGCGCCAAGAATTGAACTTGGATACTGAAGTGTGTGGGACAGCTTGACTTTCTGGTGTTCCCTGTTCAAGACTGTTGGACTTAACCTTCCTTTCGGGGCACTGTGGACATCAAGAATGCCAAGATCATTTCCCACAGTTTCTCAAAGTGAAACTGTCTCTTGACATTCCTAAGCAGACTGCTTGGCTTAGCGGCTTTGGCTCGTAGCGTTTTGTGGCGGCGTGTCAAGGTTTTTGCAGGGAGCAAAGACAACTAGTAGGGACTACTGGAGAAATATAACTTAGCACTTCACTTCAATGCCAATAGTTTTTGTGTTTTGGCGACGGACCAAACCGAGCAGTACCGGCACAGGGCTCCTCCCTACAGCAAACCCGCGCCTCTGAAAAAGAAGCTTTTGCTGTTTTGCTCCTGCTTGCTTGAGTGACGGTTTGGGTGGGGCGAGTGCTCATGGAAGAGTATATGTTCAAGCCAGCTGCAATCAAACAACTCCGACCAACCAACAGAAAAAGGACAAATCAAGAAAGCAAGAATGAACATGTTGTAAGGTTGTGAAAAAAAAAAACAATGCGAACGCAAAAATGGAAAGGACATCAAGCAATGAAAACACAACCACAGAACACTTATAACTAACAAGGACCAACAAACAAAAGGAACAAATAGTAACTTCAGCTTCCCAGTGCCTGGCTGCAGCAACAACATAATTTACTATTAGTGCCTAGTGCGCATAATGTGTTCATAACTGACCATTATTTTTACAACGGAGTATATTAAATACTAATTCAAAAAGAGTCAAAAGTACTTGGTAAAACTGTTTAACAAGATCAGATGCGATTAATAAAAGCCGATTGAAGCTCGGCAACTACATTGTCTCCCATGCTGCTTTTGAGCACCCTCAGGATGAGAAGCACCGTTGAACAATGAAGTAATGAAAAAATAATCATGTGGCAAGAAGTGAAATCCATCACTGTCACTTAATGCTTAAGAATAACACGGTGTCTTTTCTGGCCTAGCGAAGAAGCACAAGAGCACAGCAGAGTTCATGTGAGAACTTCTGTTTTTGTGCACCGGAGGCCAAACGGCAATTTGTGCTGTTCAATGATTTGTTCCAGCAGCTGGACGAAGAGCAAAGGAACTCGGACCCAGAGGCTCAGATGGTGCAAATGATGGCGCTAAAATTTATTTGGGATTGTCCAGGTGAATGAGCAAAGACAGCTCCTTCAACGAGTGCTGAACAGTGCCAAGTAGTTGAGCTTCAGCTGGGAATCACCTAGACTGAGTTTGGCTCAAACAGAGTTTGCAGATGATCGTCGCCTCAATGCCAGGCGAGCCTGGTGAAAAGTTGAATTCCACTCATGCATGCAGCACACGCACAAACAGACTTGTTGTGTTTTTGGGAGGAAGACATCACATCGCCCTGAAACCTTTACTCTGAAAGAATCATTAAGAGGTCCTGTAGGTAGGACACGAGACTCTTGCTACGTCGTGCCTCCAACAGGAGACAAAAGCCAATCACTGCGTTCCATACAATACATTGTCAATTGTCGTTCTCTTCAATCGCGCAGTGCCGCGTTGCAGCTTTTGGGTTAACGGTTTGCCTATGTTTGCCTACTACCGCGGCAAGCTCGCCTCACGGATCATAGACCAGAACTACCTGCTCGAAAAGACCTCGATTAGCAGTCTTTTGCTGGAACTGCAGTGCCAAGTCTGGTGATATGTTTGTGGAGCTCTTCCAGTGGGCGTCCTGAACCCTGGATGTGACATGGACTTAACATGATTCCATCAGCTGAAATCGACAAAGGGCATGGAGGTCTTCTGACCATAGTCCGAACAGCTGTTTGCTCGATTGGCATTAGCAATAATGCGCCAGGAAAGCATCAACGCATCCGGTCAGCATTTGGCCAATTGCTGTCCAATCCTGTGGGCAACACCAAAATCCAGACCGATCCTGTTGAAGATAGGAAGGCAAGTTGGCGTAGACCCGGGAAACTCCTTTAGACTCTCCCTTTCATGAATGTCGTGTTGCTGGGAGGCGACTGCAACACCTCCTTGCTTCCAAAGCACATCAGCAGCATCTATGTTCCCTCACATACTTTGCTTAGTACAAGAAAGGTCAGACCTCTGATTTTGCAGTGGACGGATTTTATAGGCAAGTTCTTTTTGCACCACATTAAGACGGGTCTCAGGACGCCTGATTTCATATCATGGATGGAAAGAGGATACAAAGCAGAAAAGCGAAACAAATAATGTGTTGGACACAAACGTTCGTGGCTCCAAAGAAGCTCAAACAGACATGGCAGATATGAGTACCAGAAGCAGTACTGGAATGGAGGCTGAGGCATTAGAGCGTAGACGTTGCCAAAGGGCTGAGTTCTAATAAAGGCGTGCGTGGTGGATGGCGGGCGGGAACCGAAGGCAACTTTCTTCAATTTTGTAGTGGAATGAGAACAGGAGCAAATGGAGGCTGAGCGTGGCCGGCTGCAGATCTCCAATTGCATTGAAGAGCCCTGTCTATAAAATCAGGGGAGCCAACACCTACATGCACCATATGCATGGTGTGATCTAAATGGACAGGGGGCAGCTTGGGTCGGGAAAAGCATGGGGGGCGGAAGCAGTACTGGAATGGAGGCTGAGGCATTAGAGCTTAGACTGCTTAGACACTGCCAAAGGGCTGAGCACGCTTGTTCCAAGAAAAGCGTGCATGGTGGATCGATCAACCGAAGGCAACTTCCCTCAATTTGGTAATAGAATGAGAACAGGAACAATACTGGAATGGAGGCTGAGGCGTGGCCTGTTGCAGATCTCCAACTGCACTGAAGAGCCCTGTCTATAAAACCAGGGGGGCCAACACCTACATGCCCCATATGCATGGTGTGAGCTAAAGGGACAGGGGGGCAGCTTGGCCTGGGAAACAGAATGGAAACAGAAGGAGTAGTGGATTGGACCTTGAGAGGGGACAGAGGACAGGGGTCCGTGCGTCCTGGATGTGGTTATAGAATGAGAACAGAAGCAGTACTGGAATGGAGGCTGGACCGTGGCCTGCTGGAATCTACGTTGTCAGGCTGCCAGGCTTACAAAATGCTGCGCCTGCCACAAAAGAATGATACGTTGCAAGGCTTATAAACTGTAATGGCGCCATGAACACTCTCCGTTGCCTTTCGAAGATGGGAAAGATCTCAAAAAGCTGCCTGTCGAAAAGCGGTGTCAGTCCTCTGGGGTATTATGGTCAGTTAGGTGTAGCTGCTTTTGCGCATTTCATTTTCATGATATTTTTCGCGGCGTGATCCTCTATAAAATTAAAATCTAGGGGGACTACCTGTGCGTAAAACGTTTTAAAGTAGGACCCCTATACTGAAATCAGGCTTGCCAGATTCCGTGTCAGAATTTTGCTGGCTTTTAATGTGTCAGTTTGTTGTGATCTTTCTTGGCTTAGAAAAATGTACCAAACACAAGATGTTTCAGAAATATAACTATATAGAGATGTGTGCGGTCAAAGAGGCTTATGTTGGATGTTGGGGCGGTCGCGTCGTATGAATTGCTAAAAGGTCTAGTCTCTCCAAATTATATACCCTAAGAGGGTGTATCCACATGTTATATTTTTAAAATCGCATCCAAGTCCCCCCCCAGCGGAGTTGCCACGAGCATATTATGATTACTGTATTGTTTGTCAATGCCTGGGCTGTTATAGTTATAGTTATAGTCTACCTTGTGGGTGGAACCCCTTGATTTATAAGCATATGGGAGGTCCACCACAGTGCACTTCCAAAATCTCAGGTGAGACCTACAACCCCATGTGGGAACAGGGATACAAAAGGTATGTGGACAGTTCTGCCCTTCTTCATACCTGGCTCAACTCTCACATCCGTGAGGGTGCAAGATCTTGAGCCGTTCTTCATTGGCCCGTGTGCCACGACGATCTGCGCATACATTTCACTTTCATGACGTCTTGTTTGCCCCACCCGCCGCCCAAAAGAGACAAGTAGAAAAAGAGATAGAATTTGCAGATGTGAGATGCGAAGAGGAGAGAGGATGTAGATGTGATGCAAGGGTGAAGATGTGATTTGACCGTTGACCGCCCCTGTTTACAAGGAACTTTTCGTTCAGGCGCTCTCGCGCGCGCCAAAACCCCTACAGTACTAACATTATCCTATCGACCTAATTGTCTATACCTACTTGTCTACCAACAGTAGAGACGATAGACGCCCAGCTGCTAGTTTAGTTTCTCGGTGCACACGCCCCCGCTCTGTGTGTGTGTGTGTGTGTCGCCTCCTGTTTCAAGGAATGACAGGAATGAGCGCGTGAAATCACAACCAACGAAGCTAGTGATGTCATGGGAAGCAGTCAGAGACGTCTGACTGTGTACCTGCACCCTTTTTCAATCCTCTCAAAAGGGCAAACCAGCACTTCTCTCCGTTGCGTCAAGTCAAGCGCTACGTGTTCATCTAAAGCGCTAGCCTCACGGGGAAGTCACAACTGATATAGCTCTTGCGAGCATGGATCTAAGTGTGTCTCGTAGCATCGTCCCACTGTGGTGTGCTGCGCGATCTGTTCGGGGCGCGTTGAGCATAGACCCTTAAGGGCGGATCAGTGGGTGATTGATCCTCTTGCTATTGCTTGCATATCTCTTGACTAGCCGCTTGCGCGAGATTGCTGATACCAAGCTGCAGAGCATACTAAGACCCTTCATGACATGCCCCTCACGCGTCTAAGTAACCATTTTGCACAGACCCATGTCATACTGCTAAGTATACATTGCTGTCTTGCTTTTCTTCTTTCGGTTTCTTTTCGTTTTCTAGGTCTGTCTGTTTCTAATGGTAACTGAAGTTTTTCATGTTTTTCATGCTTTTTAGTCAAGGGGGCGCCAGCTTCGGCTTTCTGGCCAGTGCCTTTTGGCCCGTGAGTGTGAGTGAGTGCGAGTGTGAGTGAGCGTGAGTGAGAGTGAAGGTGGGGGGCGCTATAGTGTGGGTGGAGTGTGAGTATGAGACTGAATGGGTGAGTGAGTGTGTGTGAAAGTGAGAGCGAGTGTGGGAGAGTGAGTGCGCGTGAGAATGAGAGTGAGAGTGAGTGTGGGTGGGTGAGTGGGTGTGAGTGTGAGGAGTGTGAGTGTGAGTGGGAGTGAAGTGCAGTGAGTGTGAGCGCAGGTGTGATCTGCACTTCGAGGTTCACCAAGCACTGTGCCTGCCGCGAAATCTGCACTTCGAGATTCGCCGAGCGCTGCGCCTGCCACGAAATCTGCACTTTGAGGTTCACAAAGCGCTGTGCCTGCAATGAAATCTGCACTTCAAGGTTCTCCAACAAGTGCTGTGCCTGCCACGAAATCTGCACTTCGAGGCTCACCAAGCGCGCTGCACCTGCCACGAAATCTGCGCTTCGAGGTTCACTAAGTGCTGTGCCTGCCACGAAATCTGCGCATCGAGGCTGTGCCTGCCACGAAATCTGCACTTCGAGGTTCACCAAGTGCTGTATCTGTCACGAAATCTGCACTTCGAGGTTCACCAAGCACTGTGCCTGCCACGAAATCTGCACTTCGAGGTTCACCAAGTGCTGCGCCTGCCACGAAATCTGCGCTTCGAGGTTCACCAAGCGCTGTGCCTGCCACGAAATCTGCACTTCGAGGTTCACCAAGCGCTGTGCCTGCCACGAAATCTGCAAACGAGCCACATGTCCAAAAGTCACGATTCACTGCACCTGTCACGAAATCTGAGCTCCTCGACGATCACCGCCATGTCCAAAGTGCTGCGCCTGCCACGAAAATTGCATTTCGAAGTAAAACAGCTCCGATCCCTGGCACCTGTCACGCAAAGTCGACTTTGGAGCACCAAAATGTAGTTTCCCTTGCGCCTGCCACGAAAAGTCACCACCATTTACGAAAATGCGCACGGCGCCACAACGAGAGCGCTGTCGTTAGAAGCACCGCAGACACCCAGATTCAGCGAGCCTGCGCAGTCGAAAGCGATCTAAGCCCCAGCTGCGCCCCAGCTGCTTTTCTACTACCGTAGGAACCCCTCAGTGTGCCCACACTAACACGTTTAAATTGCAGGGGGGCCAGCGCATGACATCGCAACGCTGGCCAACGAAGCTAGTCATGGGAAGCACTCAAAGACGTCTGACTGTGTACATGCACCAATTTTTAATCCTCTCTAAAGGGCCAATGAATTTTCGACCGACCCAGCACTTCTTTCCGTTGCATCATGTGAAGTGCTACGTATTCATCATTATTCATCTAAAGTGCTAGCCTCATGGGGAAGTCATATGTGATATAGTTTTTGCGAGCACGGATCTAAGTGTGCAGGGTCGGTGGACAATTTGTGCAGGCCTTTTAGCCGGAAGAATTGTTTAAGTCTCAGGCTCAAAGCAAGCTAGGCTTAGCAAAATGCAATACTCATGCATACCAAAGTTTCATTAGCAACACGGAAGAGAAACTTTTCATAAGTGGAGCCGCACTTCTATTCGCCTTGAGTTGTATTGAGCAAAGCAGAAAGACCAATATCATACAGATCTGTCACAAATCAGCGCTGCATATTCATGAACATTTGAGAAGCTGAACTTCGAGCAAAGAATGAGGTCGGCTGTTTGGCGGTGCGGTTTAACCGTTGCTCCCATTCTTGGCATGAAACTGTCACTCGCTTTTGATGTCCAAGTTAAGATGGACCTTGAATACAAAATCTTTGGTTATGGGTTTTAATACTTAAACTTTTGCACGCATTGAGGCCCTCAAGGTGGCTTCAATGGTGAAGAGAGCTTTGTGTAGCGTGCTTGTTTTGTTGTCTTGAACTGTGGAAAGCTTTGGTAAAGAATGGGATCAAATGTATATGCTGCAGATCAGGCCAATTTAGACTCCCTGAGCAAGATCCAGCAAAGATATTCGCAGGACCAGGGCTTCTTTTGCCCAGGTATTGGATGCAACTATCCAAGCAAGGCATTCGGATTGGCTGGTGCAGCCTGCAACCAAGCTAGAGATGAGATGGTAAGAATGCATGTAGGAAACTGCTGCAGCGCTCCGCATTGATATAGGATGACCAACCTGTTTGAGTCAGCAACACCAGGTGAACGATGCATTCCTCATTGCAGAGACCCTTCAGGTCAAGCATTGTTTCTTCGTTGGAAAGCAAGGCTGCCTCATATCTATGTAATTCATTGTAATTCCATGGATAATAGGTTTGCCCAGAAGCACGGAAAACGGATATCACCAGACAGCAGTTAACACATATTTCATTTTGACCACATGGAAGATCGCTGCGTGTCTTCGGACCTGCTCACTGTTAGACTACAGATGACAAGAACCACCCTCGATGTGTCATTTCAGTCAAAGGCTAAACCACTGACGTTCTGACGTAAGCGTGCACGCTATTTGTTTCTTTGTTTCGCGCGCCAAGAGCCAACCGACATCGGACAACTCAACGAGCGTTTACCCGACACTGATCCTAGTGAAAAGAGATGTCTATATATATATAGATAGATATATCTAGATATCAAAGATCCGAGATTCCTCAAATACATTTCCAGCAAGCTTGGATCCATGTAGGTATTTTCTCGGTCCATTTGTTAAACCACCTTGGCTTCATGAAACCACTTCTTGAAGCGCAAGTTGAGGGGTGTAAAAAGGACTGGACGTACGAAATGTGCTGAACAAACTAGCCACATCCAAAGGCTTTATGTGCATGAAAGATTCAAAGGAGTGTCCTTGTTCAATGTGTGTTTGATTGTTTTTGTAGTTTTCTTTGCTCCGAAGCACAGCATTCAAGGCACCTAGAGGAGCCTCCCTTTGCAAAGAAGAGTGTATGCTTTTGCATAAGCATATGCGTCTAGTTCTAAATAAACTTAGTCCATCTCTCCCCAAATCTCGTTCATTGAGCTGGTTTCTCTTTCAATAAACGCCTCATCCTTGGAAATCTTTTCGGTCCACTCTTGTATCCACCTTTTCCACCTTTAATCGTTTTCAAAAGTATCTTCCTTGTGCAGGGAATGTTCTGTTTTTTATATAAGCATCTACAGTAATCCTTGTGAATGCTGCTCCCTTCATGAGGGCCTTACCCTTTATGAGCGTATCATCTCCTTTACAAATGTTCTTTCGTTTGTGTCCTCTTCTATAAAGCTTTTCTTGCTGGAAGACACCTGAATTATTATCAGAAACCTGTGTCAGCGGAACTGAACAATGGGTTTGATGTGGAATTAGGCATGTTTGCCATGTCAAAGGGATTTGATTGTGCCTTGCTCACCTTGGGCACTTGACAAGCTTATTGAAAATTGTTTGTCCTGATCGACAAGAAGGATTGAACCCAATCCTTCTCCAAGCACGCTTTCGGATCAATCATAGTTGTGTCAAGATGTTGGTTCAGATAACCAAAAGGGTTAAGCAGTGCACATGTGTCAATCAATTAATGAGGTGTTTTCCACCAAGGATATGTTCAACTTTGCGGGGGGAATACCTTTTTGCAAAGGAGAACCTATCGTGATACAAGGCGAGGGCCTCACAAACCAACCAGAGAGGCGTACTGAATATACACAGAGAACTCCTGGCAACTGAATAAGCACTGCAAATCCAATCGTACAAACAGTTTACGTGTCACTTTGTCAGATCGCATCATGTTTCTGGACAAGCTGCATTCACGTTACTGTGCTGTTCTAGTGAAAAAGTTTGCATGTCGATCCCTGTTTGTGTCTTCAACAGATTTCTGATGAAGATGTCTTGAAGGTAGTCTTGAAGTCTTCAAGGGGATTTGCTCAAGGTGTCAAAGCGTGTGTTATGTTAATATGAGAGTTTGCAGTCAGCTCGAAAACCCTTCCTGGCAGTGCTTGACGGTCCTGCTCAGCTGCTTCCACGTGCATGCTCTTGGCCTTCCTAGAGGGTACCCTTGCCCAAAAGGGTGTCAACAATAGAATTACAAGGTTTGGTTTTGAGTCGGCGTCTGAAAAGGCGAAGACAGTGTAAGCCCGTATGTATGTCTGTCTGTCTGTCTGTCTGTATGTATGGAATGTAGTGTAATGTAATGTAATGTAATGTAATGTAATGTAATGTAACGCATGCATGGATGGATGTATGTATGTATGTATTTTTCCTCCTAAAGGTGCTTGTTCGAGGCTCTTTGGCGGTCTGGTTCTACAGGCAGCCTCAGTCTGGTTCAGAAGAAGTCAACGCCGATAACCTCATCGTCCGTGGCAGTTTCTTCTTCACCCCCTTCTGGTCTGGCAACAGCTCCCTCTCTTGGTCCTGTCAAATTCAGATCATTCGGCATTGCGCATGCCTCAGGGGTTGTCGAGAACCGGAGCTTCTTAGGAGCTGGTGCGGCCCTTCCTGTCCTTGTTGGTGTCACCTCATGTGGCTGGGGTTCTTGGCCTGTGGTGACTGCTGTTGCCTGCTTGTCCGGCTGGGTATCATGGCCGGCTGTGGTGGTTGCCGTCTGTGTGGCTGTGTCTTTGCAAGCAGAAAGGGCGATCTCTGGGTATTAGGCTTGGTGCACCCTTGTGTGGCAAGTGTGACATTGAAACCCGCTCCTGTGAGGTTCCCACTGGTGCTTCTCTGGCTTCCACGGGAGCTTGCACTGGTTAATGAGCCTTTTCTTGTACTGCTTAGTGTTGCGCCCTGCCCTGCGCACGGGCTTCTCATGGATGTAGTGTTGTGGATCTTTATAGATCTTCTCGAGCCGCGCTGCAGCCTGTTTGTAGACCTGGAGGTGGTCTTGGTCGAGGGTCCTTTGCCAGGCTGCCAGAGCTGCATCCCTTTGCCTCCTCCTCAGGTGTGGTTCGCTGCCTGGTGCATCGGGGGTCAGATGTGTGATGCGGCGGAAGAGGTCCTCATCGAAACCCTTGGCAAGGTCTTCAAATCCTTTTCGTTTCCTGGGGTTAGTCCAAGCTCCCCAGACTGAGCCCAGCTGGATGATCACGTTGATCGGGGTGAGGACACGCTGGGCTAAAGTGATGAGGCCTTGAAACAGTGCCCGCTTTTTGGTCTGCTGACCTGGCGCCATGCCCGTTATTGTACCTTTTCTCAGTAGTGTCCCAAGAGAAAAGGTGTGGATGCAAAGTGCGAAAATCCACGCCTGGGATGTCTGGTCGTAGGAGGACGGTGTTGCGTCCAAAGTGACCGACAAACCTTGCCATGGTTGCAGTGGCATTGGTTCCAAGGTGTTCCAACATCCCTGCCCCTGGAGCGGTAGGGCCGTTTGCCGGTGATCTTGTGGTTCTTTGGGGAGCCAGCCATGCGCCCACAAGGGCTCTTCGAGTGGGTCCTGTAACCCCTCTGTCCAGTCAATGGAGAGGGCTTCATGGCCTTTGTTGTGGTGCCAGGTACAAAGCCACACAATGTGCTTCGGCGTGGCAGGGACGTTGCACAGCGGGCAAGTTTTGATCTTGTCTCCTTGCCGGTAATGGAGGGCTGCCTGCGCTGATCAAGTTCTGGCAGTTGTTCTTGCTCGCAAACCTGCTGGTCCGCTGCTGTTGTGCTTCGTGATGCAACTCTGGTTGGGTGTGCTCTCTTAGAGAGTGAGGTCTTCCACCTGTGTGACATAGGTGCTCCATGCCCTGAATCCAATGTCCGGCACATGAGGTAGTGGTGGGAAGGTCCGTAGTTGATTGTAGTTCCTAAAGTCTTCCTCCAGTTCTACGGCATAGGTTACCAGGCAGTGAGGTCGCCAAGGTACCGCCCATTCGGTAGTCATGGAAGCACAGGAGGCAATGGTTTGGTGCATGATTGCATAATCAACCGTGTTGCCATTGAGCATGGTTGCATCCGGTGCCAGGATCTGCCAGTAACTTGGAGCTGAGCGCTGCGCTTTGGAAGTGTTCAGGATGATTGTTCCAATCTCCTACGAGGATGAATAGGCGCGTCGTGGCTTGTAGCAAGGCCAAAATGCCGGCCAGGAGCTGGGAGTTTGTTGTCCCTTGGATCGTCTCATTGGTCTTGAAATAGACCGCCGCGACCAGGATGGATCTGGCTTTGGCTTCCCATAGGAAGGCCTGATACCCACAACCTTCAATCTCGAAGTGCTCCAGCTTGGTTATTCCATGGGCTGTGTCATGGATGATGCGGATGCCACCATGGGTTCCTTCGTTGCTGTTGGATTGGGCAGGATATCCAAACGCAGGGCGTCCTCTCACTTCGAAGTATTGGCACATCGTGTGATGCTTTGGCTGATCGAGGTGTGTCTCAACGAACACATAGATCTCATTGTCCCTTGCCCAGTACCAATCAAGGGTGTTCTTGCCGAAGGCTGTGATGTTGGCCACATTTATCCTCATCTGCTCTTGGGCGAATCTGGCCTTCTTGGGTGGTGTGCCGCGAAGCCTCCGGTGGAGGTAAAGCCCTGGCTATTTGTCTTGGTGTGACCAGGGCAGAGGTCTGGATGCCCCAGACTTGTACTATCTGGCCGGCTATTTGCGGCGTCAAGAAAGGCAGAACTTGGGCGTGGCTCCATCGTCTGCTATCCACATCAAATTCTTGTAGACCAGGATGGCATAGTAGTGGCCTGTTTCATGTGTGGGTCCTCGGTGGCATATGTATGCAATGGGGATGTATTCGGCGCAGGCCCTGGAGAAGCCGTCCAGGGATCTGGGACCGTGTGTGGTCCATGTGGATTGAGGGCCCTTTTGTGTTTGGTGACCGTGCCCTCTATAGATATTGCCAGCAATTCAGAAGCTCTTGCCAGGTGATTTCATCAAGGAATTCGTCCGGGTAGTCCACAACGAGTGGCAGTTGGACATGCTCAGCCCCCCTTCTTTGATCTCCGTGTAGCGGTATTGCATACGGTTACGCCATTAAAATATGTGGAGGGCGGCCCAGGGTTGACCCTCCCGGAGGTAGTGTATAATTCCTATTCTGTCCGTATGTTTGGGGGCGACGGGCGGCTCCGCATGTTTAAATGTGCAGTTCCTTCATCATTCCCAACAATAAAAAACAGCAGGATCTTGCCGGGCCTTATGTGGGGACCTTGGCTCCGCGCTAGACACCTCTCACAGTTTTTGCCATTGACACCCCTTCATGTTTAACATCCCTGTGCTTTGAGTGTGGGTTGGAGCTAAAGGAGACTTAGAAGCCGGCCCCCACGGAATTGCGATGAGTGCACCATTTTGGGAAAAGCCGTTT